CCCCTGACAGATGTTCCTGCTGGCTGTGGGGGGAAAAGCCAGGGCCAGGGCGGTGGCCTTGGACTCTGGGATGGGGCAGTGACGGCGCGGGGCCTATGGCTGGGTGGAATAGTGGAAAATTGAGTTAATAAAACCCTAAGGGGTCTGTTCCTATGGCTGCGTGGCAGCCGAGCTTCACTGCCCCAACCAGGAACCACTGAGGACACAGATGAGGTGGTGGACTTTGTACATGTCCATTGCGGTAGACTTACTCGTTTGGTGCTCGTTGGAAGCGGGATCCAGTCAGGCTGCTGACGGCTCCTCGGACAGGGTGTGCAGGGGGTAGGGTCTGTGATGGGGTCACTGTCATGTTGAACCCCTTCAGTGTCTCTCCAAAACCCTCAAGATAAACTCCAAACTCCCTTCCCCAACACGCCTGCTATGGCCTGAATGTTCGTGTGCCCCAAAATCCACAAGTTGAAATTCTAACCCCCACGGTGATGGTCTTAGGAGGTGGGGGCTTTGGTAGGTGCTTAGATCATGAGGGCAGAGCCTCATGAAAGGGACTAGTGCCCATAAAAGAGAACCCAGGGAGCTCTCTAGCCCCTGCTGTCATGTGAGGACACAGGGAAATAGGAAGGGGATTCTCCCCAGACACCTAATCTGCCGGTGCCTTGATCTTGGACTTCCCAGCCTCCAGAAATGAGAGAAATAAATTTCTGTTGTGTATAAGCCACCCCGTCTATGGTATTTTTGTTACAGCAGCTGGAACGGACTCAGACATTATTGTTACATGCCTTCCTCTGGGCCCCCGCAGAGCCCTGGCTGGCTCTGGCATGGCATTGATCAGAGGGCAGTGTCCATGGCTGCCTGCTGTTGGTCCATCCTCCCAGGAGAACAAGAGCTCCTCCTGGGAAAAGGCCAAGTCACGTCCCCTCTGGTCCCTCGCACCCAGCCCCGTGGCTGACCCACTGACCTGTACAAAGAGTGTGTGGAGGAAGTGAATCACCATGGAAGCAGATTTTCTGATGCTCTGGGATGGAACCCGTCCTAGTGAGGAGAAGTTTCTACACACCTTGTTCTGGGAGAAGGACATTTAGGGACCAGGCGCTGAAGCAGAAAGTCAGAGCCCCTGACAGATGTTCCTGCTGGCTGTGGGGGGAAAAGCCAGGGCCAGGGCGGTGGCCTTGGACTCTGGGATGGGGCAGTGAC